GGAATTTCAAGGAGCAAGTTATCAGTCGAGCGGAGGTTACGGTTGTGGCAACTGCCTAATAGCTGGAAGCAAGATTTTAAGTAATCTGGAGCACAAGGATCATTAAGAATAGAGAAGAGCATGCAGAGGGGATCTGAGGGATCTCCTCTCACGGACAGGAAGCCATTTAAGCTGAGCGCGAAAGGAAGAGATTATGTCGTATTTACGAAGACCGAAGATAAAACGGATACAGTTATTGAGCATTCGATCCAATTTGTTAAGAAGGTCTTGGGATAGATCGGAGTAACAAACATCAGCATAATCAACAACAGGAAGCACAAGGGACCGACACAGAATCTTGATATTTGGTGGCAGAAAGTTCTTGAACCTGTAGAGAGATCGTAGCGTGGCAGTTACTTTCCGGCCAATCTGAGCAACCTGATAATTCCAGTTGAGCCCGCTGTCCAGATACAAGCCTAGATCCTTTACGTGAGGGGACAATGGTATGGTGGTTTGATTAAATGTTATCGGATCAAGCTGATTGACATTTAGGCTATTCAAGTAATAGGAGCTACCTAAGATGAGGGCCTGACATTTGCCTACATTCACTGCAATCCCATACCTCCTTGACCAGTCTTCAATCGCAAGCAAGTCAGTGTTGAGATATGCTATGCAAGTTCAAGTTAGCGATATCAGCCTGACGTATAGTTGTAGATCATCGGCGTAAAGGTGATAAGAGCATTTGAGGACTAGTAATAGAGTTTATAAATAGAGAAAATAACAAAGGAGAGAGTATACCGCCTGTGGTACACCAGCTGTTAGCCCCCCCAGTCGGAGAATTCCTGACCAACGCGTACCGCCTGCTGGCGACCACGAAGATAAGTAGAGAACCAATCCCGCGATGACGTCGAGAACCCAATCTGAGTTAGCATGGCCAAGAGAATATCGTAGTCAACCGTGTTAAAAGCGTTGAAGAAATCGATTAAAACCAACACAGTTAACCTCGAACCCTCCATGCCATGTCTTACATCCTCTGTGACCTTCAGCAGGGCAGTGGATGTGCTGTGGCCGGGCCGAAAACCTGATTGGAAGGGAGACAGCAGGTTATGTTTGAATATGTAAGAGGACGTTTGTTTATGAACAACTGCTTCGAGGATCTTGGACAGGTAAGGAAGGATAGAAATGGGTCTGTAATGGTTGGGCTGACAAGGATTGGAGGTTTTGATAATTATCAAAACCTATTGATTCCGATCCGGATATTATATGCACAGATTTCAACAAGGCGTTTGACAGTGTTTCACATAAAAACTTACTGAATGAGTTGAGAACCTATGGATTTACATGACCTTTGTTGAAGATTATTACGTTGTAGTCAACGGCAATAAATCATCATTATAAAATGCATGTTATGGTGTTCTACAAAGTCACAACTGGGTCTAAGTTTGTTTGTTTATTTCATAAACGATATTTTGGTATTTGGAGCATATATTTAGGTATGGTGACGACTAGGGATAATACTACATTATCGCCGTTACAAGGGTATGGAATAAGAGATTGAGGATAAGAATTTTATTTTCTTAGTAACCAAATAGGTAAGCATTGTTTCTTATCATTGGTATTGTTCTTCTTCTTTGGTATTGTCAAGCTTCAAACTCGTGAGCTTGGTGAACTCGTGATTGGTCATTCATTTGTTGTGAAGTATTTACTGAGAAGACTTTGTTCGGTTTGGTCCTACGATTATAAAGCACTAATTTTCGGAGTCGCGGAGAACCTAACGGGTTAACCGGGGCTCCGGCTCGACGTGCAGGAGAAGGAACGGGGTGGTTTTTAGTCAGTAAGAGTCTGACACTCCCTTCCGCCTCACCCAGGCGGGAGCAGTCATTCGATGATTTTTCCCCCCTTAAAAAAAAATCTTCTTGTATTAAAATATTAGAAGTTATAGTATTTTCTATGTCAGTGGTAAATATTGTTTAAGAAACAAGAACGTTTCGTTTAAACAATAATGAAAATGAAAAAAACAAAATTATTAACTAACTTTTTAAATGAACGATGTTGAATTAATGAATGGACTTCATTTCATTCATTCAACTTTACGTCAGCTCAGTAATCGTATGCGGCTTACGTGGCCTGCTGCACGTACGCACTACGATGCGACTTTTCAAGTGCGACGATGGCCGCTTTTTAAGGGCCGATTTTTCAATAATCAGTTAATTCTTACCTGTTGAATAAATTTGACAGTTTTTAGTATGGAAGAATTGTCCACTATTTAAAATTATTCCATAGTTGAAATTTATCTGAGCATTGAAAAATTGGCCCTTACTAATGTTGTCATTTGTCAAAGAAATAATAATTTTAATTACTGTAGGTACAGTCCATCCTTCAATTGTAATAACTTAGCTATAGACGCTGTCATTACCAACTACCTTAACCATGATACTGCAGAAAAATTAAAATTATAACAAACTAAAATCAGATTTAATAATAGGAAGTTAACCCCCAATAAGCTGGTTACGTTTTTGACTACATCTGTTACATAGAAACTGTGACGAATCATATTGTGGCCCTGAAAAGGGCCTTTTGTTTTAGGATAGATCCACAGATCGTATCTAAAATAGAGTTTTAACTCTGAGTACGCCTCGCTTTAATGTAAGCTAAGAAGTCTTCCTGCAGTTGCTTGGGACACTTCCGACGATATTGTTCATATGTGATCCGTCCTTCACTACAGGTACTAGTAGTAGCACCACAGGATTCATCACCAGCTTGACTTCTGATTATTTGTTTTTTCTTAACAATTCTCTTGACTGGTGGCAATGCTGGCACCGCGAATGTGTGTTCTTTTGGTACCTCTTTAGAGGTAATTGAGCACATCTCTGGTTGGTATGAAGCTGCCGAATTCATCTTGATATTTGTAAAAAATCAACAATTCGTTAGCGCACCCGGCTCAAATACTGTGCAACGGTATCACACTACAACAAATGCCCGACTACCGATAGACAACTGTTCGTGTCGACGACAGGACAGGCACTGGCTCCTTGGCAAGTGAAATTTGACTCATTCAACTATTGTAACTTCTCCCCTCTCTAAATATTATTTCATGGGCGTTGTCAAGCATCAAGCTCGTGCGCTGATTGGTCGGTAACTATTTGTGAAATATCTACTGATAAGACTTTGGTTTTTATCCCACGCTAACAATGCACTAGTCTTCTATTGTTTATGTAGATTTACTTTTTCTTTTTAAAATGCCAATATTGTTGTGAAAACACAAATATTTAGCCATTTTCGTTGACAAATTATTTATACTAATTTTAATGTCACGAATGGAATCAAGAAAAATTTACTTTTTTTAAATAAGATACATAATTATACTGATTGCCGTTAAATATAAATAATTTAAAAAAAAGTTGCATGAAATCAATCTATGAAGCTTAAACAATACATTATAAACTGATGAACAAACGATGTCTCAGTTAATGATTTCCCGAAATAATTTATTCGAAAATTACTGAAATTAAATAAATAAGACCAATGTGATACGCCGCAATAATTGCCGCATAAACTAAAGAGTAAAATATATCAATCTCTTAAATAGACTACTATTCTATACCGACGGGTCTGTATGCAGATCGTAAAACAAAAAAGATAAGAATTTTTGTATTTCAAACTGTTTCGATGAGCTCTATTCTGTCAATTTCTCTTTCCTTTCATTTGATATCCACAATGGAGGTAGTGGTGAAAAATAGATTACATTGTATGCTCATCAAGATTTATTTTATCAAAAACGTTGCCATACACGAAATCAAATTAAGTGAAGAAATAAAAGTTGATTCAACCGATCTCGAGATGATAGCAGACAAACATACATCCATAATCAAAATATTTTAATTCAACTGTCGGTAACAAAATTGTCTAAATATTCGAATAGTCAAGACAATAATTCATTACTTGTTATTCAGAGACTGGAAAGCTTAAACTCAAAACAATAAAGAGTTAAACAAAAGAAGAGAGATAGAAACAAAATTATATTTAAATGTGTTATTTTATGGTTTTCACGGCTGTATGAGTAACTGGTAAATTACCTGACCCGTTTGCTTGACAATGGCTCTCCCCACTCCAATTTTTATCTTTGTCAAAGTTGGCGAACCAAATCACAGTTGCCGAGGCGACAGTGCTTGACTTGCAGTTGACGCGAATAGTCGCCAGTCGCTAGTCGATCATTACGAGTTACAAATATATTGTATACCTGAGACATTGTGTCTTTTGATTTCAAAATTCCCGAAATGAAGAGTGTGTCGAATACCAACATGCATAACAGCGGTACTGGACGTGACTTTACCACAAATGGGAAACCTGGACGCAGCTGCGGAAGAATTGGTAACAAGGATAGTGGATTACTGGGAAGAAATAGTGGCCACATATCGAAACCAAAGAAATTTTCAAGGCATAAAAGCATGGTCTCTGTACCTGTACTACCAGTACAGACAGGACCTGTTGAGCGCTTTGATCGGCATTTCAAATCGAAGGACAGAGGCAATATAAAATGAGTGGTGTTCAGCATCGTCTGAAGAAATGATGTTGTCGGAACAAACAATGGATGCGATAATATTGGCATATCTAGAAACCAAGAAAAAAGAAGACGAAGAAGAAAGAAGACACGCCGTAGGTGGATCCTGTGGAAGTACTCAGTGCTGGAGTCAGCAGTGAGCACGCGTGCAAGGGCCACGCGTCGCATCGCATTCTTAAAACAAAAGGCCCTTCTCAGGGCCACAATACGATTCGTCGATAACAGTAGTTTATATGACAGTTTCTATTTAACAGATGTGGTCAAAAACGTAATTAACTTACCTTGGAGCTAACTAACCTATTATTAAATATTATTTTAGTTTGGCATAATTTTAGTTTATGCGCTAATCTCTAACATTTTCGTCTAGTTTTGTTTTGTAGAATTATAATTTAGGCTCCGTATAAAATCTTTCTGACTGATCAGTCAGTTATTTCAGTGATAGATTGTTGACCGTCGCGGCTTAATCCTTCGGTCTGCTCATGGGCTGAATCGCCGTAGTTTTAACTGCTTGTGTTTTTGAAACAGGAAAACTGATATAAGCAACTGTACTTGTGGTTTTTACAGCAACAAATTTTTCACCTTGACTACGGTTACAAATTGTACCTAATTCATAAAGTACTCTGTCTTAGGAGTTAAGGTTGACAATATCGCGGGTGGTTTCAAGTTTTACAACCGCAGTACGTGCGAATCGACAGTTTCATGGTTAAAGTGGTTGGTAATTATAGACTCTATAGCTTAGTTATTGGAAATGAAAGAATTACCGTCTATACGGTAGTACAAGTATTTTTTTTTTTAATTTATTATATTGTCGCACTCGAAACGTCGTCGCGCGTACGTGCGACAGCTCACGTAGGCCGCATACGATGATTAGATATATTCAACTTTATTTAATTGAATTATATATTATTTTTGCATTTTTATTTCCACTTACATATTCTTCTTTGTCGTTTCGCTCTTGGCAGAGCGGTCGTGGTCACGTTTAAGGCGGCCGTATTTGTGTTGGTGGCCGATACAGCTTTTCTCACAATCTCCCGCCATCTCTCTCTGTTTGTGGATTGTCTGGCGCAGTCTGACACTGGGTTTCCTGTTGCCGATATGACTTGATCAGTCCAGCGCATAGGTGATGTGCCTCGTGATCTGGTTCCCTCTACTTTCCCCTGAACGACCAGACGCTCTATGGAGTTGTTATTACGACGGAAGACATGGCCAAAGTACTGCAGTAGAGTCCACGTACATAGAAAACATTATAACTTCTAATACTTTAACGATAGAGGATTAGTGCTTTATAAATTTAGGACCAAAACGACCAAAGTCTCATTAGTAAATACTTCACAAGAAGTGAACGTGTTCACCAAGCTCACGGGTTTGAAGCTCGACAATACCAAAGAAAAACACAATATCAATGTTTAGAATAACGATATGTATATTTATATACTATGAAAATAAAATTGTAATCCTCAATCTCCTATTCCCAATCCCTATAAAGCCAACAAAAACTATTATGTTAAGTCGCCATCACACACAAATATATGAATGAAATACTGACATATTATATATGAAATAAACAAACAAAATTTGGCCCCAGTTGTGACCCTTGTAGAACACCAGGTGGCACAGTCTGCATTGACGATTTATTGCAACAATGACAACATAACAATCTGTTACTTAAGTACAATCTAAGCCATTTCACGAGGGATCTTTCAATTCTATAGGTTTTCAACTTATTCGGTAAGATTTTATGTGAAACGCTCTCAAACGCCTTGTAAAAATCTGTGTCTAAAGGATCGACCTGGTGACCGGGTTCGATAATTATAATTAAAAACTCTATTTAAGAAAGTTACATTATAGTATTGTTAGTATTTAGTTTGATATGTGTTGCGTGTAAGATGTGTATTTTTATGAATATTTCTCTTTCACAATACGCACTCTTACAGTGCGAAACAAAATTTAATGAAAAATGTCTATTGGATCGAGTTCTTTATAATGAAGAGTCTGATAACGTTAGAAAATAGTATAAATATAAAATTATAATAAACTAAAATAATGAAAGTTTGTTTCAAAGATTTAATAATAGTAAGTCCCTAGGTAAGGTAAGTACGTTTTGACCACATCTGTTAAATAGAAACTGTCATATAAACTAATGTTTGTCGACGAATCATATTGTGGCCCTGAAAAGGGCCTTTTGTTTTCAGAATGCGAATGCACTTGGAATTATCCATGCAACCCCTTTGCAATGGACAAAGGCAACGAGGCGACGGGGGCGACGGGGGCCGCGGCGGTGTTACGCGATCCGGCCTAGCGTTCGAGGTACAACTGCAAAGGAAAGTAAAAGTGTTAAGATAATGAAAGGGAAACACGCGTTGTAACTACTTATAAAGCAAAGGATAGTCTTAGTAATAAAATAGAAGGCGACGTTACAAAAAAAAAATACACTCACTGTTGTAATCTTCGCTAAAGTCGAAGCTGACCAACTGGACGCTGTTGTTGGCCAGTGTCACGGCGGCGCGTAGTTCCTTTCCGTCAGCGAACTGAAGGAGAGAGGTAGACACCACCTTGGCGTCCATTTTTAATGAGGTCAGATGGTCTACCGATGCCGTCGTTGACGACTGCCGCTCTGTCGGCGCTTCTGCTGTGTAGTCCGCCGCCAGTTTCCCCCGTTTTATTAATTTCCTGTTAAAGAGAAACGTACTGTTGTATTAAGAGACACGTGGACCTATCGCACGTTGTTCATTAGCAATTGCAATTGAATACATAATAAATATGTATACTTGTTACAAGCAGATAACACTATCGATCGAGTCCCATGATATAATACTTACGCTAATTTCTTCCGCTGCGCCTTAATCTCCTTTGACTCGCTCACAGGGCAGGAATCGTCGGTCCGTATGCGCAACGAGTACAGACTCAATAGTCCACGATCCGTGTAGCACGCCAACACATCGTGGTAGGTAGAGAGGCCGATCAGGCGGCCTCGCGCTACCAACGTGTCGCTGTAGATGAGGTGACACTGTAACACCACCTCAGTGTTAGCGGCATCAGCTGCTGTCCACTTCAGCTCGTAGACCTTGATCTCCTTGTACTCGTTGCCCGTCACCAGATATCGACTATCTCTGCACAATACTGCAGATGATACCTACAAAAATTATATTGTTAAATTTCGCTCGAAAATATTCACACGAGAAGTAGTGATAAACTCAAAACGATGTTTCTTTAAAAAAGTAACAAGAAACAATAAGTACATACCTGGTCGTTTGGATCACCGCCCAAAGTCTTGAGACACTGGTTAGTCGCAACGTCCCAAAACTTCACGAATGTGTCTTTGGATGTGCTGATCACACAATTGCTCCCATTCGTAAAGAGTACATTGGTGATAGCTCCTCTGTGGCCGTTGAAGCGAGCCTTACAGGTGTTCGCGACAACGTCCCATACGACGACCTCGGTGTCCTGAAATTAACAGACATTATTTATTTGTGCCACAACAGGGTGTAAGCTAGCCGAAGTCACACACACACACACACACGACACATAGATACTTCTTTTGTTTCCTCCGCAATCATTCGGTACTGGATCGCCCGAAACATTTCGGAAATCAATCTAAATTACCGTGTCTTGTAAATGAAATGCCTCCGTCGCTCGGGGAATACAAAAGGCGTGAGCGTGATGATGAAACCAAAAAATAAAAATGAATTAGGTAGGCACTACTAACCTTAGAACCAGACACCAGGAAGTCACCTTCGCCATCGTACTGCATGCACGTTACAGCACATTTCTGAGCAGCAAATTCGCAAACCGCTCGTTTTTTATAGAGGTCATAAATGGCTATAACCCCATTTTCGTAGCCGACCGCCAGCTCGCGACCGTTAGGGCTGGCTGCTATTCGGGTCACGAATGCCATCTCCGTTTTACCGGGGAGCACTGCAACCTGTGGAAGTAAACACAAAGCTTTAATAATTTGAACTGAAATCAAATTTAGACACTCAACAATGATGAAAACTTAGTTTCAAACACTTGACACAACTGACAAAACTGTATAAAAGTCATAATTACCTCGACCTGTTCCAACATATCCCAAACGACGACACTGTGGAGTGCTCCGACACCAATGTATCGTGAGGTTTTTGGAGACATAAAGACGTTATTACAGAACGAGCTGGCGATCGTAACGATACTTTCGTAAAAAGCGCTCATTTTTAGAGATGGAATTACTGAATAAATTCGAACAACTAAAAACACTGCACCGCACAACTGCACACTGGCTGTTCAGCTGAAGAGTGAATACTGATCGCTGCACTGGCCGCGTACGCAGGTAAGGGTGTCTACCCTTAGACGGAAGGCGGGGCGCGAGTGGAGGGAGCTACGCCCCGCCCCTATATCAAACTCGGTGACAAAGAAAGAAACACTACCCGGCTCTTTCATCCTTCTTCCTACTTTTCTTTTAATATTATAAATGCGAAAGTTTAAGAAGAAAGAGAAAGAAGTTACCCTATAAGTAGCTACTGCTGACTAAGATCTCTTCCCACACGGAAAAGTTTTCAGCATTAATCATCGCGCTTGCTCAAAGCGGGTTGGGTTGGTAAGAAAATGTAATCATAGGAAACTAATAACATGTATGTACTTTTGTGATTTCACACTTTCCGATGATCTCAAAAACTTCAAATGTGAGTCGTCAAGTTAATTAAAACGCTCTTTTAGGTAAAGTGGAGTCGTGGGATTGAATAGTTTGCTGTAAAAAGTTAAGGAATATGAAACATGTTCATAATTATTTGCATTTACCTACTTTTAAAAACGAATATACCGTAAAAAACTTAGGTTTTTTTATTATATGTGCGACAAAGAATATTAATGACAATATAGGTAGGTACATAAGAATATTATAGATAGTAAGTTATAGGTAATGTCAATTCAAAAAAACTTGCTCTTTACCCGAAACATTTTCTGGCCGTTGCCAAACTTCCAACTCGAGCGCTGATTGGTCGGTTACTTTTCCGCGAACTACCTGATAAGACTTTGGTCTAATGTCCCACGCTAACAAAGCACTAGTCCTCTATTGTTTAAGTACTAGGAACTGAAAGTGGTATTATTTTGTATGTTTTCTGAAAACCTCAACAGTAGGACCTACTGATAAGACTTTTGTCTTTTATCCCACACTTACAATGGAACAGTATTAAAAGCTTCATATTTTCTTTGTAAGCGATTGTAATTGTGTCAACACAAATATTTATCAATAGTTTTTGGTTAAAAGTTATGTTATATTATAGTATTCTTGAAATCGTCATAACGGGGCTCGTTACTTAATGCGACAAATTATAGACGATATGAACTGAAATGGATTTATATGATACCACAAACTACATCGAAGATACTCCCAGTGGTGATGACGCTGAGTGTAAAGTTATATCTGGAAGACTTGGAGACACTACTGGAAAAGTAGCCGGTGATAGATTTAGACGTGGCCGCATTCGGAACATACCGCGAGCAAGGAATGGTGGTATAACGAAACCTACGAAGCACTCAGCGAGCCATGTTACCAACGCGTGGAAATTTATTAACAACACGGGTAATAAGTTTGGTAAACTGAATAAAAGAAACGTCGTCCCAACCTTCAGAGCCGATCCTCCTGAGCTTTTGACACCAACAGCAATGGGTCAGATAAATGAAGAAAATACGATCATGGATAGTGGCAACAGCGGCTGCAGCCTGCTTCAGTTCCTCAATGGGCGAGCAGGTTAGGAAGTGCGTCCTATGTCACGGGAACGACTGACAGATTACATGAAGAATATAGAAATACGTGTGAAGAGTCAAAAACTACTTTGTGACTTAGAGCAGCTTAGACTATAATGATGCCAGGAGCTGAACTAAGTCGTGGAAGGCACCCAGTGCATCGCATTCTTAAAACAAAAGGCCCTTTTCTAGGCCAAAATATGATTCGTCGACAAACATTAGTTTTTATGACAGTTTCTGTATAACAGACGTAGTCAAACACATAACGAACTTATTGGGAGCTACGTACCCAACATTGAACCTTCAAAACAAAATTTCAATTCTTTAGTTTGGTATACAAGACCGGAGTTTAATTGCCTTGTCGCCACCGTCGTACACAAAACGTCATCGTGCATACATGCGATAAGTCACGTAGGTCGCAAACGATGACTTAGCTGACGTAAAGCTTGAACCAACCGCACCGAGAATCGTGTCTGCTTGGTTGGGTCTTCGACAAAGCACGATACGAAGTACAACATAAAATTGAGTAACATTTCAATATTCGGGCGTAAAGAAGGTGTATTATCCTTTGGCAGTGTAGGGGCGCACTGAAAGAAAACGTCTGACAGTCCTGGAAGACGAGTCTTTGATAGATTTAGACGTGGCCGCTTGGGGGACACAACGTGTGCGAGTGGTAACTAAAACACTTAGCGACCGATGTTAGCAGCGCATGGAAACTTAATAATATCATGATCGATTATTTTGATTCATTAAATCATAGAAATGTTATCTCAATCATCAGAATAATGTGAATTGCATTTTATAAGTTTTTATAAATATCAAGATGGATTCAGCTACATCAGACCAACCAGAGATGTGCTCAATCACCTCTAGAGTGTTGGAGTCACCAAAAGACCACATATTCGCGGTACCAGCACTGCCATCAATCAAGAGAAACGTGAGACAAAAACGAATAAACAGAAGTCAAGCTGGTGAGGAATCCCGTGGTGCTACTACTAGTACCTGTGGTGAAGGGCGGCTTACATACGAAGAATATCATCGAAAGTGTCTCAAGAAACTGCAGGAAGACTTCCTAGCTTACATTAAAGCGAGGCGTACTCAGAGTTAAAACTCTATTTTAGATACGATCAGAGGATCTATCTTAAAACAAGAGACCCTTTTCAAGGCCACAATATGATACGTCACAGTTTCTATGTAACAGATGTAGTCAAAAACGTAACCAGCTTATTGGGGGTTAACCAAATCAAGTGAGCAAAAGAGAGAGCAAGAAACAAATAAAAAAATGTAATATTTTAGTATCCCCACGGCTGGTGATACTGATTTTAGCCAGTAACTGGAAAATTACCACATGCATAATGATCTCAGTGGCTCTCCCCACTCCACTGTATTCACATTTGTCAAAGTTACCATGTACAACAATAGCAGTGAGTTCAATAAAACTGGAAAACCTGGACACGGCTGTGGAAATGGCAGCAAGAACAGAATATTACTTGGGAAAAACAGTGGCCACGTATCAAAGAACAAAAAGCTTAATAATAGCATGGTCACGATACCTGTATCACCCGTAGCGACAGGCCGTGTTGAACGTTCAGAGTGGCACTTCAAATCGGAGGACATAGGCAGTATAATGGAGTGGAGTATAGCATCTTCTGAAGACACAATGATTTTATCACAAGCCACAATGGATACAATAATAGTGGCTTACTTAAAGGAAAAGAAAAGAGAAAACCAGCAACAACGAACTTAAGGTCAAGCTGAACCCTAGACTTAGAACATCAAGCCCTACACGCGATGTATCGCATATTAAATCAAGAGGCCAATTTCAGGGCCACAATATGATTCGTCGTTATTTAATATGACAAATTCTATTTAACGGACATAGTTTAAAACGTAACTACTGAAGAAATGTATGAAACCAAGTTTTGTTATTTTATTGTGTTGTCATTTTTATTTGTGAGCTACAAATTCGATCCTATAGATAATTAATTGAAGTGAAATTTCATTTCAAAGTATTTTTTAAAGGTTAAAATTATTTTACACAAATCCGTGTAATCCCTCTGACTCCTGCCTCCCACAACACATTACCCAACTTTATTTTGGTAAACATAAAAGCATGTTATATTTATAAATAAATGAATTAAATACCAACAGTACAGTATAGTCTTACTTCCATTAACAGACCTATTATCAAAACCTATTGATTCCGGTCACCAGGCGGATATTATATGCACAGATTTCAACAAGGCGTTTGACAATGTTTCACATAAAAACTTACTGAATGAGTTAAGAACCTATGGATTTACATGATCTTTGTTGAAGATTATTACGTTGTTCTCAACGGCAATAAATCAGCATTATAGAACGCATGTTATGGTGTTCTACAAAATCACAACTGGGTCTAAGTTTGTTTGTTTATTTCATAAACGATATTTTGATATTTAGAGCATATACATATTTAGGTGTGGTGACGACTAGGGATAATACTACATTATCGGCGTTATATGGATATGGAATTAGAGATTGAAGATAAGGATTTTATTTTCTTAGTAACCAAATAGGTAAGCATTGTTTCTTGTCAATGGTATTGTTCTTCTTCTTTGGTATTGTCAAGCTTCAAACTCGTGAGCTTGGTGAACTCGTGATTAGTCGTTCAATTTTTGTGTAGTATTTTACTGAGAAGGCTTTGTCCGGTTTGGTCCTACGATTATAAAACACTAATCTTCTTTAGTTAAAATATTAGAAGTTATAGTATTTTCTATGTCAGTGGTAATTATTGTTTAAAAAAATAAACCAATCCTTTAAAAATAAATAAAATGTAAAGATAATAACTAACTTTTTACATTAGTGATGTTGCATTAATAAATTAACGTCATTTTATTCATTCAACTTTACTTCAGCTTAGTAATCGTATGCGGCATACGTGGTCAGAGAGCAGAGTCGATGTGTCAAATTCTTTTACTAATGTTGTTAATTGTCAAATAAATAATTACTTTTATTACTGTAGATACAGTCCATCTTTCAATTGAAATAACTTAGCTATAGAGGCTGTCATTACCAACTACCTTAACCATGATACTGCTGAAAAAATAAAATTGTAACAAACTAAAGTAAGATTTAATAATAGGTAGTTAGCCCCCAATAAGCTGAATACGTTTTTGACTACATCTGTTGCATAGAAACTGTGACGAATCATATTGTGGCCCTGAAAAGGGCCTTTTGTTTTGCTATGTAGCTGTAGATCAGATGCTTGTTACCAGCGTTTATTGTCAAGGACTGCATAATCTCAGGCCATCCCAAAATCATTTCCTTGCGTGATAGCTCAGCGAGCAGGCGACTTCAGGAACATGGCCGGCTCCATCGCCACCGGCTGCTCTTTGAAGTATGGGTGCTCTAAAGCAGCGGCTGCTGTTGTTCTTCTAGCAGGATCATAGATTAAAAGATCTTGCAGTAAAGATAGCCCGTCTTCAGACAACAGATTGCGACTTATCTTTTTACGCAACCCGCCCGGTGGATAGTCGTTGAACACGATGTCTCTCACCATTGGTAATGCGCTGTAACCGGGCCAAATCGTGTCTGAAGGCGTTCCCAGATCCACAAATATTTTGATTATCTGATCCAACTCACATCTGCCGGGAAATAGTGGCCGCAAGGTTATTAGTTCAGCGAATATACATCCAACACTCCACATGTCGACAGGAGCGGAGTATTCTTTCGAAAGCAGCAGTAGTTCAGGCGCACGGTACCATCGCGTAACTACGTCCGGCGTATATTGCCGAGGAGAGAATTCATATTCTCGGGCCATCCCAAAATCTGCCACTTTTAATACACCTTCGTTTGACAATAATATATTGTGGGTTTTGAGATCGCGATGTATCACGTGATGGTTGTGTAGATGTTGTACAGCGCTTAGCAGTTGCGTCATTAGGCATTTCACGTGTTCGACTGAAAACATTTGCTTGTTTTCTTTCATTGTCTGCATAAAAGTTTTTAAGTCGTAATCAACGAGCTCCATGACTATAAACACATGCTCGTTTCCCGAACTCGACGCTATTCCTCGGCCTGCAACGATGTTGGGATGCCGCATCTTCAGCAGTATTTCAAGCTCTCTCCGAGCGGCGATGGAGAATCCTTCCGTTTCGTTAATTTTTTTAAGTTGTTTGAGGGCCACCATTTCCCCCGTCCGTCTGTCCTTGGCTCCATGGATAGTTCCAAATGATCCTTCATCAATTCTGTAGAGATATTGGAACTCGTCTACAGATCGACAACTCTGGAACGCTGGGTGGAAGGGCGAATCAGCATCAATGATTTCGTGCTGTTCGTCGTTGTTCCTCTTCGATGTCTTGTGTTTGTAATTATTTTTTTCTCGCCGTATTTTGTTCTTGTATATTCTGTCGTTCGCTGCCTTTTTCAAACCACATTTATCCTTTTGTGATTTCCGAAGTGGAACTCCAACTGACATGGTCAAATTGTTTATGGAAGCCATGGCTTAGAAGTTCTTATCAATCTTCACAATGTGTAGTCACTGTATGCAGTCTAAACTGTAAGTGTGCACGTTCTTGAAGATCCTCCCTTATATAGTCTAGAGCCCTGAGCATTTCTTTTGTTCCCTAAACAGGTTACGGTAAATATTTTCAATACTTGTCGTATTATCAGATAAAGATCGTATTACAATAAGCCAACGTCAAATAACAAAGAACTAGTTCTTTAGAACGTAGTAATTAAGACACTAAGTAATAGTTTTTCCCACGCATCTGAAGTGACTTTGTGGCACTGTAAAAGCTATTGTTTATTTTCTTAGATTTTTTTTTTTTTAGAACTTATGTTATCATTAAAATATTTTGTGGTACAAAAACTATTATTTCCTCGTTTCTCTTCACTCGCATCATTTAAGTTGTTTGATTAAGGGGTTGCGTAGTAAAACCAATATGTTTATAAAAAATATGACACAATGTAACTTTGACTTTGTAGCTTTGACTGAAACTTTTTTAAATAGTTCCATATGTACCTAATGGTGAACTGTTTTCATCGCACTATGTAGTAGTACGCAAAGACCGTTTGTGTGACTCCGGATGGGGGGGAGTGCTCTTAGAACCTAATGGCTTGGTACGCGACGATGGCAGGAGACACGACGGCATATCATTATTTCCTTGGAAGATGGGTAGGACTTTAGTATGGGACGCCACTTGCGTTGATACTCTGGCGCCATCCCATCTTCCAAGCTCAACGTGTCGAGCCGGTGCTGCCGCTGCTGCTGCCGTGAACCTCAAACGGCGAAAATATAATAGCCTGATGCCGTGGGCCCAAGTGCACATCTTCTTTACAAAGATATTGTAAGGAGGATGGTTGACACTTCGGGTGATCGAAGGGCTGGCTACTACCTTGGGCAAAGATTAAGCATTGCCATTCAACGTGGCAATGCTGCCAGTCTTTTGGGCACTCTACCTCACAATAGCGATGAGGAAATTTTTTTTATGATGCCTTAACATAGCATTTTGTTATTATTACTTTTTTTAAGGTGTAAATATTTTAGTTTTTAGTTATTTATATTTTAAGTTGTATATGTTTACTTAATTTAAATTCTTATTCAAAAAGCATGTTATGTAATTTATAAAGAGAAAATTAAATAAAAGAAAACTGAAAATAACTATTTACAGAGAAAAAAATTTAATGCGAACTTCTATGTTTCATTTCATAAAGTTATACGTCCAATGTGTTGCGTGTAAGATGTGTAGTTTTATGAATATTTCTCTTTTATGTTATGTACTCTTAAAGTGCGAAACAAAATTTAACAAAAATGTCTATTGGGTCGAGTTCTTTATAATGAAGGGTCTAAAATAATAATAGTAGTTAATAAAGAAATAAAATTTTATCAAACTAAAATAAGGAAAGTTTGTGCCAAGATTTAATAATAGTAAGTCTCTGGGTGAGTTAAGTACGTTTTGACCTTATCTGTTAAATAGAAACTGTCATATAAACTAATGTTTATCGACGAATCATGTTGTGGCCCTGAAAAGGACCTTTTGTTTTCGGAATGCGAATCCACTTGGAATTCTCCATGCAACTCCTCTGCAATGGACGATAGATGCTCTCCACGACCTGCATCATGCATCACCTTCGTTATCTACTTACGCCAATTCAATTTATGCCCCCCGCCGTGGGTGGGGCATTAGAGGCGAGGCATTTGCAGCATTGGGTGCTACTAAATTGCCCTTTGACTGAGGAGTTGGTTTAGTAGGTATGGCAGAGGTATGCCGTGTTCCACCTCCTACTTCAGCTCCTCGATTGCTGGGGCCAGCATTTCCAACACGGGATGCAATGTGGCTATAATTTCGATTTTCTATTAGTTGCATGGCCCCTTCATACGCCATGTCAACTTCGTTTTGCATGTCCGTTTTGCGTTTAGATCGACCTTTCCCTCTGTTGACACCATCTTCATCAAGGATCCTTAAAAGATCCATTGCTCCCTCGTATGCCATGTCCAATTCCTTCAGTCTGTCTCCGCTGGGAAAAAGAAGTAAAGGATTAGAATTAGTATTTGTGGTACGGCATTTGTGGTTCACTTTTGGTACGGCATTCGTAATTTTTCCATTCGAAGGTTTACTTTTAGTGACACCTTTCAAATGGTTCTTTACTTCAGATGTATTTCTGCGTCCTTCCGTGCGGCTACTTTTTATTCTATCCCGGTTTTCTCTCGAGATGCGACCAGGATTTCCATTTTCCTTCAATTGATGTCCAGTATTCTTGTTAGACATGATGATGTTTCACAATGATTTCAATGTAATATAATATACGTATGTAAGTAATGGTCGACGAGCGACGGACGAGTGTTCGTGTCAACGACTAGTCAAGCAATGACTCTTCGGCAACTACGATTCAAAGCTAAGCATTGGTGTAGGGCGAGCTACCTGCCACAGATAATGCGTGGTAATTTACAACTGAACCAAAACCTACCGTGGGACCCATAAAATAACACGTGTCATTTCAAAATTACATTCATCAATCTTATTTATTTAATGAGTCCCATGTAATAGGGGGTGAGTATATTTTAATATTTAGTAAGTAGTAATTACTCAATAAAGAGTAAAAAATTGAATTGGGGAGATTGATTCGATTAAGGACAACATCATCATTATCAACAGCCTGTCCTCGTTCACTGCTGGACATAGGCCTCTCCAATATATATAGGCACGCCACTGAGCTCGGTCTTCAGTTCTACGCATCCTACAACTGCCAGCCACTTTGCGGTTATCGTCACTCCGCCTAGCTGGAGGGCGCCCCTCCACATTACGTTTGCCTCAACGCGGTCTTAACGACAACATCGCGATGAAACCTGGGCTTTAAATTCCTTATTAATTACATTTGATTTCTAATATTAAATTAGTTATCATGCGTCCTTCATTAAATCCTAGCAATTTTACTAACGACATAATAATATACTAATGCTACAATGAAAGGAATAAAAAATGAAATGAAATTAGTTAATTGTTTTATCCATAGTATTTTTTTACCGACTTCAAAAAAAGAGTTTTCAGTTTACCTATATGTATGTTTGTATGTATGTAGGAATGTCTACTATAATTTTAGTTTAAGTAAAGTAAAGTGGAGTGCATATTTTATTGTTATGAATCAATTACTTGAAAAAATAAATAACTAAAGAATTAAATTCATGTTCTTTTTATGACTAGTGCATTTTCTGTAGAATAAAATACCATAAAAATCATAAAATCAAAGAGAATCTTGTTTAAATACCACAAAACATTAATTTCTTTGGCATTGTCAAGCTTCAAACTCGTTTACTTTTTAGAAGCATCTACTGATAAGACTTTGGTTTATTGTCCCACGCTAACAAAGCACTAGTCCTTTATTATTTAAGTATTAAAAGTTATAACCCCCAATAAGCTGGTTACGTTTTTGACTACATCTGTTACATAGAAACTGTGACGAATCATATTGTGGCCCTGAAAAGGGCCTTTTGTTTTAAGATAGATCCTTAGATCGTATCTAAAATAGAGTTTTAACACTGAGTGCGCCTCGCTTTAATGTACGCTAGAAAGTCTTGCTGTAGGTGCTTGGGACACTTCCGACGATATTCTTCAAATGTAAGCCGCTCTTCACCACAGGTACTATTAGTAGCACCACGGGATTCCTCACCAGCTTGACTATTGTTTATGCGTTTCTGTCTTACGTTTCTTTTGATTGGCGGCAGTGCTGGTACCGCAAATATGTATTCTTTTGGTGACTCCAACACTTTAGTATTATCACCACGGGATTTCTCGCCAGCTTGACTCTTGTTTGTTTGTTTTTGTCTGCTTCTTTTGATTGGTGGCAGTGCTGGTACAGCGAATATGTGGTCTTTTGGTGACTCCAACACTTTAGAAATAGTTGAGCACATCTCTGTTTGATCTGAAGTAGTCGAATCCATCTTGATATTTGTACAAAAAATTAAAATTTATTTTGCAACGGTAGCACACAACAACAAATGTCCGAATACTGATAGACGACTGTTCGTGTCGACGACAGGACAGGCACTGGCTCCTTGGCAAATGAAATTTGACTCATTCAACTATTGTAACTTCTCCCCTCCCTAAATATTATTTCATGGGCGTTGTCAAGCATCAAGCTCGTGCTCTGATTGGTCGGTAACTATTTGTGAAATATCTACTGATAAGACTTTGGTTTTTATCCCACGCTAACAATGCACTAGTCTTCTATTGTTTAAGTGGATTTACTTTTTCTTCGTAAAATGCCCATATTGTTGTGAAAACACAAATATTTAGCCATATTTTCGTTAACAAATTATTTTTAATCAAATTTTATTGTCATAAATGGAATATACATCCATAATCAAAATATTTTAATTTAACTGTCGGTAACAAAATTGTCTAAATATTCGAATAGTCAAGACAATAATTCATTACTTGTTACTCAGAGACTGGAAAGCTTAAACTCAAAACAATAAAGAGTTAAACAAAAGAAGGGAGAGATAGAAACAAAATTATATTTAAATGTGTTATTCTATGGTTTTCACGGCTGTATGAGTAAGTGGTAAATTAATCCACCTGTGTGATTGACAGTTGTTGTCGCCACTTTAATTTTTATCCTTAACGCAAGCCTCCTAAGGTGGATAATTGTTACCATTAGATTTACACAGGTGACGGTTGTGTATTTAAAACCATTATATTATTAAGACCTGTATGCACCATAAACTAAGAATGGATTTATACTAATTCATTCATTCATAAAATTAAAAATAAAATTTAATGTATTGTCACTCTTTTGTTAATGTCAATTTCATTAACATTATAATTAACTTACTAAATCAAGTTGAACATGTTAGGTTGCTCATACAGTTAATAAAATGTTATGCATGTTTATTTTTCATAGTCTAGACCAAGTATTTATTTTAAATAACGTAAGGAAACGTAAAAGCTAATTATGTAGATAATATGTTGTTCATACTATATTTTGTCAGAAATACCGTCCGATATTTTTTGTTTATTAATAGTAAGCCCTTAGGCTAGTGTCGGTTTGTTACGTTTTTGACTTCATCTGTTAAATAGAAACTGTCATATAAACTAATGTTTATCGACGCAACATATTTTGGCCCTGAAAAGAGCCTTTTGTTCTAAAAATGCGAATGCACTTGGAGTACTTGATGCAACTCCTCTGCAATGAGTGAAGGACACTCTCTACGACCTACCTCATGCACCACCTTCATCAGCTACTTTCGTCAATTCTATTTTATGCCCCTCGCCGTGGGTGGGGTATTATAGGCAAGGCATTTGCAGCATTGGGCGCTACTAAATTCTTCTTTGACTGGTGTGTTGATTTAGTAGGTATGGCAGAGGTATGCCGTGTTCCACCTCCTACATCAGCTCCTCCGTTGCTAGGGCCATGATTTCCATCACGGGACGCAATATGGCTATAACTTCCATTTGCAATTAGTTGCATGGCCCCTTCATACGCCATGTCAACTTCATTTTCCATGTCTCTTTTAGCGTTTGACTTGTGTTTGGATCGACCTTTACTTCTGTTGATACCGTCTTCATCAAGGATCCTTAAAAGATCCATTGCTCCCTCGTATGCCATGTCCAATTCCTTCAGCCTTTCTCCGCTGGGAAACAGATCTAAGGGATGAGAATTACCATTTGTGGTACGGCATTTGTGGTTCACTTGTGGTAAGGCATTCGTCATTTTTCCGTTCGTTTTACTTTTAGTGACACCTTTCAAATGATTCTTTATTTCAGAAGCATTTCTGCGTCCTTCCGTGCGGCTATTTTTTATTCTATCCCGGTTTTCTCTTGAGATGCAACCAGGATTTCCATTTTCCCTTAATTGATGTCCAGTACCCTTGTTAGACATGATGATTTCAGAATGATTTCACTGTAATATAATATTTGTAAGTAATGATCGACGAGCGACGGACGTCTGTTCGTGTCAACGACTAGTCAAGCAATGACTCTTCGGCAACTACGATTCAACAAAGCTAAACATTGGTGTAGGGAGAGCTACCTGCCACAGATAATGCGTGGTAATTTACAACTTACTCACAACCTGCCGTGGGACCCATAAAATAACACGTGTCATACCTTTATTATTTTTAGTATTAATAGTCTTGCATTATCTTAATAATTAATATACCATCGCGCCTTTTATCCCGGAAGGCATAAGCAGAGGTGCACATTATGGCACATCATGCCACTGTACAATGTAACACCCACTTTTCACTATTAATGTGATGAGTATCTTAGTAATTAGTAAGTAGCAATTACTCAATGAAAAGTAAAAAATTGAATTGTGGAGAATAGGTATCGATCAGCAGCAGATACTTAAATAGTTCATTAATTGTCTTTAGGTAACGAGCTTAAAATGGCTCAGTTTATGAAATTAGCGATTAAGGACAACATCACGAGGAAACCTGCGCTTTTAATTTCTTATTAAATCCAACTAATTTCTAATATGAAATTAGTTAATTGTTTTATTTAGAACATAAATTTAGTATTAACCGACTTCAAACAATGAGGTTCTCAAATTGTCCTATATGTATGTTTGTGCGCGATTATCTCGCGATTGGGTGAACCGATTTTGATGCGGTTTTCAGAAAAGTATTTTGTACACTTAGAAAAAGATTTTATTATATTAATTAACCGACTTCGCAAAAAGGGAAGTTTGAAGTCGGTTAAAATATTGTACTATTATTTTAGTTTATTTAAAGTAGAGTGTATTTATTGTTGTGAATAATTGCTTTAAAAAATAAGTAAAAAAAGAAGTACTTCAATTCATGTTCTAGTTATGACTAGTGCATTTTCTGTGAAAAATACCACAAAAATCATAAAAGCAAACAGATTCTTTTTTAAATAAGACAAAACATTAATTTCTTTGGCATTGTCAAGCTTCAAACTCGTTTACTTTTTCGAAGCATAAGTTTCTACTGATAAGACTTTGGTTTATTGTCCCACGCCGACAAAGCACTAGTCCTCTATTGTTTAAGTATTAAAAGTTATATATTTTCTATTGTAAGTGGTAATTATTGTGACCACACACACATTTTGTTATATTTTCGATGAATTTCTCGAAACCTTTATCAACGGATCTGGAGTGGACGAACGTTTCGAGGACAAAATCATTTACGATCTTCAACAAGGTTCCTAAACTCCTATTGATACTGGCCGGTATACGGTTCATCAGGTAAAATTTGCGATAACGCCAAAATTACCGGATGTATGTATGTATTATATGTATTTGTATGTAAAAATAAAACCAAAACAGTCACGGTTTCCATTCTATTTATTTTGAATTTAAAATATACATGTAATTAATAATACATACTTAATTTGATTTTGGAGTTCCATAATACATTATGGAGATAGAACACTGAAAGAATCAGTATATACTGGCACAGGATCGAGGCGCATCGAATCGCATGTAAATATAATAATTAACATAACTAATTCAATCTTACCTTTACAGCATAATGTACAAGATTATTGAAAGACAAAAACTTTCTAAGATGATCAAGACTCTACTGACAAAATACCTTCCTTTTCTTTAGGTATATAAACGGTTTCTTCTTGTATACTTAATACTAGGTATATTAGGTTTAATATATATTTATTCATAAACACACAATTCGGTACTTATTTGAGTTAAATATATGTATATAGACTTTTTAATATAATAAAATACAATGACAGTTTTCCATAAACTACGTTCAAAAGAACCGACTTTAACCTCGTATATTGTCCACAATTTGATTAGTTACAAAGTATCCAATTACACTATAAGCTATAAGGACGGTTATAATTAAAAATATTATTATTATTATAAGTTAAAAAATACTCAGGTTCTGAAGACGTTCAAACCTTCAAGAAAAGTGCGAATTTCTTTTTAAAAGGCCGTCAACGCACCTGTTACTCCGCTGGTGTTGTAGGTGTCTATGAGCGACGCTGTTCGCTTACCATCAGGTGATCCGTTCGGTCGTTTGCCTCCTATTCCATAAAAACCTCTCGTTGATTTTAAAACATGTTTCCCCTAAAGAGACAGGCACATACTCCCATAATCATTGCAATAAATCACCCATTTTTCACCGTGTTATGAATACCATGTAATAGTGGATGAGCCAGCTATAATTATACAGCTATATGTACGTTCTATGATTATTTAGACACCACCACTGACAAACAGGGAAGGAAAACATCAAAAGGGAACGTGGGATTTCTATCTATAAACTTAAAGTCGTCAACCCACATTGAGCAAGCGTGGTGATCAATGCTCAAACCGCAAGAGAATAGGCCTTTCCTCAGCAGTTGGCGCTTATAAGCTGTTGATAATGATATGAGGAGCCAGTAAATACATACTTTGAATAGCAAAGCTCTCTAATGCCATGTGAAAACGCAATGGCATAATAACAAATAAGCTGTAGCTACTACTAAGTGTCCTATCATGACTGGGAAGCCAATTTTGAAGAACTGCATGAAAGTAATTTTATATCCATGTTGTTCTGCCAATCCGACGCACACCACGTTTGAACTGGCACCGATTAGGGTACCGTTACCTGTGTGGAGAACAAAATATTAATATCAAAAATCTTATTAAAAGCCTATAAACGATTAAAATTAACAATCGATCTAACTATATCAAACATTCCAGAGATATTGAAGATTGGTTTTCGAAAAAATCAGTTCAATAAAACTATTTGTTATGAGACGAGCCTACCACAACATTTAAAACCACTGCAACTCCTGTACACTAGGATTTACATTGGATACAACCATACAAACACCGAAACACTGAAGTTCGGTGTATCCCAGGGACATGATTTCACCAACAAACTGTTGAACAGTTTGGCGATTCTTAGTAAGAAGTTATAATTATGCTAGTGTCTAAATATGCAATGTATCATAAGAAAAGAAATATTTATTAATGAACTTGTCTTGGATCCTCAATAGAACTAATGTCCAGAATTTAACCAATTGATTGGTGGTAGATAACTTTTGAAGGGAAACCATATTGAAGTCTTCCATGGCTCAACTTTTGAATACAAAGATTTCGGATCATTCGTGAGCGACGCATTCCCCAGTTATAAAGTTGTATAAAAACTCGCCTCCCAAACAGACGCCGAAGGATAACGCCCATATAAGCGGTTCCATGGGCAGGTTAAGCGTAGGATGGGTGCCCAATGACGTCACCACTCGAACCATCATAGTAGTCAGAGGTACGTTGTCCACAAACGCTGATGTTATACCAGATACCTGCGGGAGAATAAAAACCTTTATAACTGTACCTGACAACACCAATAGCCGACCAAGGGACTAACACAGAGACTGAATAGCAATGTTCTCTGATAAAAACAAAACTTTTCATGTTATGATCTCCAACCAATTTGTCAAGAGTAAAGATTATGGCAAACTACTTTTTTGTAAAGGAGCCCCACAGTCCAGCAGTGGACTCACAAACTGATGATGCTAATTATACACAATAGAGCCAGGCGTTATATTGGAGAAGTTCATACTACAGGAAACAATATCTAGTTTTAACTCCGCTACGATATCACGTAGCGGTAGCTACGAAATTTCATAGTATGCGCTACGAACTTCCGTAGCAAGCGCTACGAATATCCGTAGCAAGTATTAGATGATGATTCTTAACTTACCCAGACCATTATGATAAGGGCTACAGCCAATCGATCACTTTCATCTACTCGAAGTATAAGAGCTTCTGTCCACCCTCCGATGTAGCCAATCAGACCTAATTTGGACAAAGCCTGAAACAATGAAGTCGGTTAAAGAGATATAAAACTAATATATTTCTTTTTTTTAACCAAATAAGTAAAACCGTTAAATAAGTATCCATGGGAGTCTTCAGAGTCCGAGTAAAAAGGTTATTTATAGATAGGCGTACTCCATGGTAAGGTGCATCGTCGCTAACCACCAGGCGTGACAGTAGTCAGACAATGCCGCAAACCAAAGATGGAGCTCACTTGACTATATGAACTTGACTTAACATCGATACTTGTTTGTAAACACCCAAGATGTATCCTTCTGGATAATAGACAGACTTAGCAGTTCACAGCAGGAAACTCGTGTACGCATCAATAGTTCTATACCTCCATAAGCACAAAGAGCGCGGCGAAGAAAAGCAGAGTGGACCACTCGATCCTGTGCAGCACCGGCTCCAGATCCTCGCGGTCTGCCAAAGTCAGCAGTAGCAGCGCGCCCAGCAACGCCGTCCAACCCAGGGACACTCGATCTAGGTAAGGATGCCAAGTCATAATAAAACTATCATCAGCCAGGATAGGTCTACTACTAAGTAAAGAACTTTTTCTTAAGAGAAGGTTCGCCGTAATTCTCATGCTTCTTTATGAGAGGGAAAAATCATACAATGACTTCTCCTACCTTGCGTGAGGCCATGATGCGGAGCGAGGGGGACTGGGATGCCGTCTCTTCCTTTTGTGAAGCAGTCGTGCTAGCTAAGGCGGGACGCGTGAGGCAGCGAAGCGCTGCCTCGTCGCAACCCAGCCATCGCGAAGGACACACCGGGCGCCGGGGATCGCGAGACGATCTCCGGTCACCGTAAGCGCGGGCCTGCGGACGGCGAGCATGGGTGGCTCCCCGTCCGATCAGAAACAGACCCAAGCGTACGGCGCGTCGCGTTCCGCGCGCGCCTCAAAGAGCCATCAGACCACCACAGATGGGGCCCAATAGGGCCGATGCCGATTCGGAGTCGCGGAGAACCTAACGGGTAACCGGGGCTCCGGCTCGACGTGCAGGAGAAGAAACGGGGTGGTTTTTAGTCAGTAAGAGTCTGACACTCCCTTCCGCCTCACCCAGGCGGGAGCAGTCATTCGATGATTTTCCCCCCTTAAAAAAAAAAAACCTTGGGTGAGGCGATAGAGAGTGTCAGACTCTTACTGACCAAACTCGGCGCCCCATTCCTAAACCGCTCGCTAGATCGTCCGCATCTCCGGGTATCGGCTCGTATCAGCGGTACTGACTGTAAGACAGACTGACGGAAAATGAATTCATTTCGAATAATCCGTGTAAAGGCATTCCTGGCTTTGCTCTAGTTATTCCCTTAGTCATGCTTTGTCTTTATCTAGGCGGTTGGCTTCAAGGTCGCAGTTATGTAATGGGAAGTTTACAGTTTGTAGCGGTGAAGATACTAGCATGTTTTTTCCATTGGGAAACAAGATGATTTGAAATAATCCTAGCCTAAAAGAAACCTAGCTTCACATCTTATTTATTTGCCTAACCTCTGTTTAAAAAAGTTTGTACCTAGATTTGCTACACTAGTTTTATTTTATCATGGACAAAAACGTAACTTTGGACGGAGCATATGAACAAAAACTAGGTATTTTGGTTCCGACATCGGTTAAAAATATTTACATTTATTTTACTTTTCAAAATGGCATAGTATAAATATCATACATATCAAGCAACTGTAAGGACATATATGAATAAAATGAATATACAGCAATACAATTCTCGGAAGCACACTTGTTTTAAAATAGTTTCAAAGATAATGGTCAAAACAATAAAAGGGCCAAAGTTTAACATGCATTGTTTTATGGTTCCCACGGTGGCACTGCCCACTCCTACATGTTCTTTTGTCACAGTGGTAATAGTGGTAATAGAAACTCAAAATAAATACTAATACTAACATAAAATATTTCTAAATACATATATAGATTACATACAATAAGTTGACAGTATCAAAAGCTTTCGACAAAACTAATAAGCATCGATCAATCGCAGCGGTCTTAGATAAACCAGATCTTTTTAAACTGTGATCTCTAAAATTGGTTTAACATATTTTTAACAATCCTTATCACTGAACTATTTGCATAGTCAGGACAATAGGTGATTATTATTTTCTAAGAAATCGCAAAGCTAATGATAATGGTCAAAACAATAAAAGGGCCAAAGTTTAACATGCATTGTTTTATGGTTCCCACGGTGGCACTTCGCACTCCAACGTGTTCCTTTGTCACAGTGGGTATATAAATGAAGCCTTAGGTGTCAGTCAGTTATTGCTGTCCAGTCAGTAGCTGAGTGTGTATCACAGTAACTTCGACTGTCCACGGTACAAGTATCTACTAACTGCAAATAATGAGTTACAAAACTGAAATGGTTTTCAACAACATCTTGAACGATACCGAGAACACGCGCAGTGGTGGTGGCGTTGGACGTAAATTCGTTTCAACGAAAAAGCCTGGCAGCGGTTTTGGAGTACGCGCTGGTGACCGGTTCAGACGTGGCTGCATGAGGAACATGTTGCATAGAAGAGCTCTCAATGGTCGAACTAAAGCTGGTCTGATCAAGGACTCTTGTTATTTGGTACAAGACAGTGCCATTTCATCTACCACTACCAGTCCTAAAAAACCCACCATAATCTCTGATAGTTCTACTCGAAACTGTGGAGGAGATGAAGGAGACCACAGAGAGAGTCCTGAGCAAGCACATGAAGTACTTCTTGCATACATCAAAGAAGTGCGTGCGAAGAGCAAAACGCTGCTTCATGATGTAAAACAATTCAGGTATGATCTAAGGATCTATCCGTTTTGACAGTGAAGGAGGAATTAAATAAAAAAAACCAAAAGGCCCTTTTCAGGGCCACAAAATAATTCGTCGATAAACATTAGTTTATATGACAGTTTCTATTAAACAGATGTGGTCAAAAACGTAACCAACTTACCATAGATGTAACTAATAATTATTAAATCTTCGCAAGAAACATTTTTATATTTTAAATTCTTATATTGTTTAATTCTGGCCTACTCTCAAATATTTGATTTTATCCTATTGGAGAATTGTGTTATTTTGTTAGGCCCCGTGTATCCCGATACTACCATAAGACTATGTATCATCATCAACAGTCTATAAGTAGCCACTGGTGACCACAAACCTTTTCCCACACGGAAAAGGTTTGGACATTATTCACCACGTTTGCTCAATGTGGGTTGGGTTGGTAAAAGTATGTATAGGAAACCCCCCCCCCCCAAACCACATCCCCTGAAGATAAAAATAGGTGACCGAATATTTTTTGTACTAACAAATCCAAATCTCTATAACCTCCAAATTTCTATAACGGGACACGACTTCAAGTCAATTATTTTCACAACCTGATCATTGCTATAGTTTTGACTGGTTCACCAGTTAGTCAAACAGTTGTCATGCCTTACATCCCACTGATTCCAAATGATTTCGGTACCTTTGTGATTTAAGACTTTTCGGTGATCTCAAAAGCTTTGAATGTGCGTCGCCAAAGTAATTTAAACGCTTTTATAAAAAGGAGTCACAAAATTAAATACTATGTAGTAAAACAGTCAAGGAATATGAGCATTCCGGCGAAGTCGTGGTCATATATTCATTTATCTTTTTCTAACTACGGAATTTCCGTAAAAAAATTTGATCATTTTATATTGTGTGCGACGACAAGTAATGAGGACAATATAGGATTTTTTTTAAGGGGACAAATAAGGGGGAAAGTCATCGAATGACAATTTAAGGGGAAAATCATCGAATGACTGCTCACACCTGGGTGAGGCAGGAGGGAGTGACTAAAAACCACCCCGTTCCTTCTCCTGCACGTCGAGCCGGGTTACCTGTTAGGTTCTCCGCGACTTCGAATACAATATAGGGATATCCTCTCTATGAGATATTATAAGTAATAAGTTATAGGTAAACGCAATAAAAAATATTCATTTTCAGAGCGTTGCCAAACTTCCAACTCGAGAGCCGATTTGTCGTTTACCTTTCTGCGAGCTACCTGATAAGATTTTGGTCTACTGTCCTACACTTATAATGAAACAGTATTAAAAACTTCATATGTTCTTTGTAACTAATTATTAGTTGTGACAACACAAACATCTTACGAAATTAGGCCAAAAGTACCCTTAACCGACAAGCAAGTATGAAAAGACTGATGACTGTTGAGGAAGCGAAAGAGGTATTTAAGAATCGTAGCAATTGGCGTTGCATTAAGTATATTTTGCTATATAAAAATGATCGGGTGAGACATTTAGTTAGTGGTTGACTCGTCGTACTTCCAGTGACATTTAAATAGTAAGATGTTCGACGAAACTAAAATAGATTTAGATAGTATCACAAACTATATCGAAGATACTCCCAGTGATGGTGACGCTGAGCGTAAAGTTAGATCTGGAAGACTTGGAGACATTACTGGAAAAGTAGCCGGTGATAGATTTAGACGTGGCCGCAATCGAAACATACCGCGTGCAACGAATGGTGGTATAACGAAACCTACAAAACACTCAGCGAGCCATGTTACCAACGCGTTGAAACTTATTAACAACACAAGAAATAATTTTGATGAACTGAATCGAAGAAATGTCGTCCCAACCATCAGAACTGAGCCAATGGCAACGGCAGCAATGGGTCAGGTAAATGAAGAAAATATGACCAGAGACGGTGGCAATTAGCAGCTGCAGCTTGCTCCATATGAGATCAGATCAGGGAGTGCGTCCTATGTCACGTGAACGACTGACAGATTACATGAAGAAAATAGAAATACGTGTGAAGAGTCAAAAACTGCTTTATGACTTCGAGCAGCTTATATTGTAATGATGTAAAGTCTTTTATTTATTGATGGCAATTTGTTGCTGTAAATTGTAGCTTGACTTCATGTCGAATACCTTTAAAAAATAATGAATACTCATGAAATGCTGATCAAAACTAATAATGGATCTATTATGATAGAGTATATGTTTTTTTTCATATGTGTGAAAATAATTTTTGTTTGTGATTAATTACTGCATCTAATTAAGTACCTCTATGTCTAAATACATTCATTATAAATAATCGAGGTATAATTATATTTCTTTTTATTTAAAAATTAAGATACAAGAACTCTAGATGCATATAAATATGGAAGTTCATAGCACGCCATTCAATTCGGGAACAAAATTGGTTGACTACGTCTGTTTAAGAGAAACTGTCCTATCAACTCATGTTCATCGACGAATCTATGTATTATGGCCCCGGAAATGGCCTTTTATTTTCTTTTCATCCGATTTCTCCTTCGTAGTTAAAATGGATAGACCCCAAGGTCGTATCTAAACTGCTGTACATTGTAAAGCGGTTTTTTAACCTTTTCACGTATTTTTCTAATGTGTGCCAGAAGTTCTTCATTTGACAGTTCAGGGCTCTCTCTAGGATCGACTTCAATTCCACCATGCTGCAGCTACGAGTAGAACTACCATAAGATTTATAATCAGATTTACGTCTACT